TTCCAAGTTTCTGTGTAAAACAAGCTGGAATGCTTGAAAGTAGGAAAAGCAGTAAAAGCATCGGAAAAGCTCTCCCCCGCCATTGACCTTCGATCAAGTTTCGTACGCTCGCTCCCATCGTGTTCTCGCAACCCTCTCGCCATAACATCCGCGCTTGTAATCCCCAGTTATTTTCCGCGTTATGGTCGTTCCATCTCACGGGGTTGTTTTCAGATAATTGAGTAATCGATAGTTCCGTCCCCTCCCTCCCTTACCTTGGCATATCGTGTAATTGCGGTTAAATAGCGATAAATCATCTCTTTGTGAAAAGTATACGGCCGGGTGGTATCTACGGTGCCGATGAAATTGATGATGAATTAACGAGATTGCGGATGGAGTGGATATGATAAACAAGCGCTCCGTCAATAATTGATGACAAACGATTACCGGATTCCGATGCTCTTTTTTTACGCGCGCACTTTCAGAAACGTATATACGCGTTTTCGCCGGGCTGGACCGTTAAATAAATAATCGATTCGCCGGGGTATTTCGACGGGCGGCGTAACATCGACGTTACCACTCGAGTGTACACAGAGGCGTCGTCCCGTTACCAGTAAATCGAACGGCCAAAACGCGGCCGTCGCGTATCGTTTTTCCCCCCCGGTTGTACCCTCGAGAAATGGCACAATGCGTTTCGGTAGCCTTTTAGCGAATGAAAGCCACCCGGTCCTCACCTACGTCTCTGTTGTAGACCGCGACGGTTTCGGTTTCGAATCGCATCGATCCACCCGCTGCGGACTAGGTTTACGGGACAGCGGTTCTCAAGCACGTGGACGCGGCATATTCGGCATTGCTCGACGCATTCCGGGGACGCAGTCCGCGTTTCCATGTGTTTTTTCCACGCACAAGAAGGTTCGGCTGTGATCTTGAAGCTAAATATAAAATGTTTCAAAGATTCGCGTTTTTCGACCGATGTATATACAGCGCGCCGTATCGTTACATTGTCTGTTTTAAATTAAAAAGATATCTGTTTTAATATCAAACTTTTAACCGTCCTTCGATGCAGCTTCCTTAGATTTATTCGTGTATGATGCAAATCTTTTTACAACGCAACAAACCGGTCACAAAAGCCCAGTTATTCCTGCATCTCTTATTTACATGTGCACGTAACTATGTAGCTAATGCAATATGCGAATACATAACACAACACGCCCGTCTGTTTGCGCAGAACTTTGCGTTACATATAATACGTAACGTATTTCCCCTGACGTGCGTTATGTTGCGTATATACGCATTTTCGATATCCGAGCGAATATGTAGAATCCGTGAAATAGCTATTAAATACACTCTATCGAATTAATTGTCCAAACGGCCATGCCATTACCGAATGAATATGACGAGAAATATTGGTATTAATTTAGTGTTAATTTGAATTAATATAGTCGTAGAAAATACGTAGGAGAGAGAGAGAACATTTAGAGAAGAGAAGATTTTTCAAGAAATATAGTTTTTTAATGCTGAGAGATGCAAATAAGATGATATCTATGTAAAATATAGCGATTTGTTTTTTTAGAAATTACTAAAGTATAGTAGCAAAACTCTTTCTTAAGTCATTTAACTTGTAAGGGAAAACAATCTCTCCTTTTTATTTATTTATTCTTATATACGACAATATGTTCTTTTTAAATATATTTCTTTACTTATAAATGTTAAAAATAATCAGAAAATTAATTATAGAAGAAATCTATAATCTACAAGATATTTTATCTATCTATTCAGAATTTCTACAAAAGTACTGGGGATTTTTAAAAATAATTTTAATTCGTGAAAATTTATCAGATTTTTATTATCTCCTTTAAAAAGCATCATCAATCTTTAAAATACCCGAAAGAGATAATTTCTTATCAATCCTAATAATTTCTGAGAAAGTAGATTATAACACTTTATTTGGACTGTCCTATATATATATATTGATGCATTAAAATTCTTGGAAAATAAAAGGATATTGAACTGATTTTCAAATATGACAAGAATAATCATTAATTTTGGGCAATTTCCTTCAACTGAATTTTTTATTAATAGCCACGACGAGAACTATGTGATTAGCCACGTCGCTGATAAACATGTCAAACGCGATATAATGTAGTAGTCATACATAGAGGATGCGAGAGTTGCTGGCAATTTCGATATTAATATAAACATCGTGTTTACTCCACATTGCAGGCACATAACATAGTGCATGGCATATAATCAATACCACATAGCAAGTAGCCAATTTCACGCTTTAGCTGCAAGCAAATGTCTTATATTAGACATTATATGAGTCGATCCGCGACTTCACAAAATGCATGCAATACAGGAACTCGTATATAGTGCACATATAATTGATTACACCGGTCGAATATCTTATACGATAATTGTGAAAAACGTGAGTATTTGCAAATACGTGAATATATCTTTGTCGCACACAATCGCCACTAATTGAATTATATATCCAGCAGCATCCATTCTCGAGCGAGTCTTGCAAACGATATTAATTACCAAAATCGATATTAATTACCAACAGTTTGAGCTTGCAAACTATATAAGTCTAAGCATCTTAACAGACGCTATTCTCTTGCAGATATAATCGTTATTAAATTTTTTAAAATTTTTGTATGACAGATAAAAAGAATTATATTCAAATGTCTATATATATCTTTTTTTACTTCAAGATATAAAAGATATTTTTATTCAGCGTATTAAAGAGAGAAAGAGAGAGAGAGGGAGAGAGAGAGAGAGAGAGAGAGAGAAGGAGGGAGGAAGAGAGTTCCGATGAATGCGAAGCTGCAAGAATGTAATTAAGGAGCGGAAGTTGATTATTTAAATCGCGTAAAGTGAGCCTTACTCAAATTGAAATTGAATTTGAGAGTTAATTACCAAGGCGTTCGGAAATTAAAAAGAAAGATCGAACGTTCGAGCCTCAATGGTTCGAACAATCAATTAGATACTTCTTCACCGCAGGTTACCTACCTATTTGTTAGATGCATTTCGTGCAGCAATAAAGAGTGTTGATCGCACATGCAATGTAATAATGACAAAAGCTGAAGTACATCCTTGGGGCGGGGCAAAACTTACGTCTCTTGAAAGGCTCATATATGCATATACATATACGCTGTGTTTATTGAAAAATTCGAAGATTCGCTAAATTCCGGATTGAGGATGTGAGAAAAAACAGCATGCAGTGACAATTCGGCACATCCCGGCACGAGCGATATCACAGATCTCGCCGACGAGAGTTAGCCAACGGTAACGAGAGTAGACGCGGTAACAGGAGTAACCACGGTAACGAGGATAGTTCGAATTGTAGCGATCCGAGTAAGTCGCGAGAGGAAAGGGCAAGACGCGCGACAGGATCCCGGGGACGAGAGAAAGTCCCACATTCAGTATCTGAAGTACTCGCAAAAAAGGTAGACGGGGATGTCGGGGGACCCGATACCCCGAGTCTGATGGGCAATTTCGTGTTTGGAAAGCTTGAAGATGCCTGCAAGCGGGTTGCGCCCACTTGGGGATTACCTCGGCAGTGACTACGAAAAATAAGGCGCGGGGAGGCGAGCTCGGAAATACCAAGTAGACTATGTCAATATCTGCGTATGCGATGCACGTACATCGCCGCGGGGAAACGGGCGGAAACATCGGTAGCGAGCGAGAAATTTTAGTGTGTTATGTTTTACTAAGGATTGTTTGCGCTTGTTTTATTCAAATATATACGCGTGTGTAGGTACAGCATCACGCGCGCGTATAAAATACGGAAGAGATGGAAAGAGAAGCAATCCCGGGTATACGCGAGTCGCCATCGAGAATTCTGATATATCTCGTCGTTCACGATGCCATCCTCATTTTGCGGATGATGCTTCTATAATTTCTCGCGACTGAGTCGAATACCGACGGAAATTACGAAAGAGCTTTCTCTTTTCAGAGATCTGAACGCACAGTTAAGAGCAGCTTTTAACATCACAAAAGGAACTCTTCCTAAATCGCTGCATTTTGCAACTTTGCTTTTTTATATATTCCGCAGAGCTTAGAATAATGCGACGCGCGATGAAATTCGTATCCAGGAATTTTCAGCGTGTTAAAAACTGTCGCCACGCTTTGTCGCGATTTATAGCCGCGCTCCCCGATCGAAATCTCGTGAATGACAATGAGATTATAATTATTCGCGCGGGATAACAAGATGAATTAAGCGTCGTTAAGAGGCGCGCCGCGCGTCCGGGAATAGCGAAAAATGTACATCCTTAAGAGCCGGTGTTGCGGAACGCGGGCGCAAAATACGTGTATGTGTTATCGTGATCGTTTTGACGGCGATAACGCAATTTCACGGTACGCGAGGCCACACGCGCTTTCCGTGTAATTGAGCCATGCCGTCGATCGTTTGAGAGGGAACATTCGGCCCGCATCGGGTTATTCTTCGGAATAACACGTCGCCGAACGTTGCGTGTCAGGCTATCTAAATCTGCGATTTCGCCAGGAAGTCCAACCTCGTTTTGCAAAAGCATATCGGCGAATTCTGGTCGCGCGCGCGCGCACGTATTATCAACCAAGTGGAAATAATCGATTTTGTTTATCCGCCTTTTAGTGGATATGTATCTTTGTAGCGTTTAACTCGTAGTATATTTCCACGATACACAAATCGATAAATATATTACAAACGTGATGCAGCATGGCTTCAAAGAATAAATAATTCCCAGTGATATGTGAATTTTCAACAAATAACAATACTTCGTGATTTTGAAATGTGACGTATCGTATAATTGCTTAATACCGAGTATGAACGAAAAACTGACGAATTGTCCGAAAGACCGGATAAGTAGGGAATTGTTTCTGTGATCTTTCGTTTGGAAAATCAATATTATCGTAGCATGCGTTTGCAGCAAAGCTATAGCTATATGTCAAGCTTCAAATGAACGAGAAGCTACCTGCGATTTAGATTGGCGTATTCTGCTACCATTTGTATTACGTGTATTATGACTGAAAATACTTACCCTCGATAATGGGATGGCGCGGCTTGTAGGACATGTCTGAAAAGAGAAAAAGGGGTTAGTATTAGTGAAATTAGTTACAAGATACATGTATGTACACGCAGTCAATTACTTACAAAGCTCGCTATCTTTATAATACTTTTACCATCACCATAATTACGACACGAATATTCCACCATTCTAATTTTAGTGACGCAACGTTTACACTGCATTTCCTGCCTACCTATTGTATTACTTTTTAATTAATTACGATTCTAATTTAGAACTTGTAATTAGTAAAGATAAAAGATAATAGTAGAAAGTCTCGTTGTGATTTATCAAAATTTTCAATTATAAACGTTATCATATTTTTGCGAAAAAATAAGCTGTTTAAATCGCCAATTTATTATCCATTATAAATTAAAAATAACGATGTTGTAAGACATTCGACTTGGATCGGAAAATGAAACTATATTGGCGATTCAGTAAATTTATAAAATAATGTTCACCTGCTTCTCTCTCGTCACAAACTAGCCAGAGTCTTCTATCTAACCGTTTAAATTGCAAAGTAATTACAACGACACAATTAGCATTGCGCGCAAGCTGTGAAAAATATTACCGTTTTCTCCTTCCCCCCCTCTCTCTACATAGAATTAAGTAATTTATATTAGTGCTTACGTCGCGATAAGATTTATTCTATTTAACTGATGTAACTTAATTAAAGGCTTTAATTTAATTAAAATCCATTTTAATTAAGTGGCCATTCTTACTAGTTGTCCGGGACGCGGCTCTTGTCTCATAACGAGTCCCACGAGATGCGGAAATATAAAAGCACAAAGCGTCTAATGCAGCCCACGCTTAGGGAAATATAACACTGATATTCCGGAAATAAAAGCGTTGACAGAGGAATATGGTATTACTTCTCATTGCTACATATGTTTATTAATAGATAATACCACGTTCATTCGATTTCCATTATAAAAATGGGAACATAATATAATAAAGCTATAGTGAAGCTATACCGTGAATATACATATATTGTGTTTGTGTGTGTTTATATATATATATATATATATATTTGATAATACGCTACATATCCGAATCGCATTTTCTATTTCTAATTCTGTTCTATTTCCAATTATTTATAACTTTATTTTATTTTAATTTTTCTTAAAATATTCAAATAATCTTTTTTACTTAATATGACAAATAGAGAACAATATGGGCATCAATATAATTGCAACGAACAAACATCAAGAAAATTCGAATACCTCATTGCGTTTTGCAAATGCTTCGAAACTTCTCACAAAACTTTTAATTATCCTATCCGGACAAGCCTTTAATGAAGAGGTTCTATGCGGACCTATGATGTCGAAAATAATTATAAGTTTCCGTATGAAATTCGTTAGATACACGGAAAATGGATTGCCAAACGTCCATCATTACGAGAGTACCACGATATCAGTGACGTATTGTATGCGTTGTTATTGGAATGGGAATAACAGAGAAAATAACTGGAATTTCTCGAGGCAGAATATTAATCCACCACTTTCATCACCCTGCCGCTCTAAACAAAATTCCACGGCGAGCAAATGCATATCGCGAACAGAGGAAAACGCAGCAGTTCCATATTAAATTCTAGGCGCTTATTCTTTGACAAATTCGGGAACCGACTCCTCCTTTGAAATTTAAATTGCGACATAATTACCAAGCTTATGGCAGAGACATGATTAAAAATGGCGCAACCATAATTAAATTACGTTCGTTATATATATCACAGATATCTATTTTTTATACATTTAAAAAGGATTGTGTGTAAGACGCGGAAACATTTTATAGATAAATCGTTGTCAATTTGTGTAAATGAAAGCAACCGATATCTGTTTACCAAATTATCTACGAAATATACTGTAAGCGAGTAAGGAACGCAAATATCTCCATCGCAAATCAGCCGGTGTAACGATGCATCGGAATGCGCGACGCATATAGAGTGGTGTGTTAAGCGCGCAAATCGGGTATCCCATAAATTTCCAAATCGGACATTCGGAAGAGAGTGTACCGCGTCGCCCAGGACAGATCGCTCAGGATTGCACGTGTATACCTAGTATACGCCGTTGCGGCGCAGTTTCAGCCACGCGGCGCCGCCAAAGCGTCGATATGTATGCAGGTCGACTGTATGAGAATTTGCGCGCGCCGATATCGCGCCGATATTCTCCCTTTCCGGGATATAGGATGCGAGATACGAGACACGACGCCGGCAAACACATGTCGTCATACGCCACGGCGGATAACGCGCTAATTGGCTTGTGAGACGCACATTCATACGCGTATATGCATCTGTAAGAACCACCGTGCAAAATTTGCATAAGAACTTGGTGCGGAAGACTCTTGACTGATGACGAAAGCGCGACTCGATATCACACTATACACGGTATTTCTCATTTTTATTGCTTATTTGTTATTTGTCGTGAAATATTTTTTTAACCATCTACCTGTAAATAAATTCGATTATAATAAATTTGCGACTATAAAGAACGCTGTTTGATTCAAACACGAAATAATTATGAAGTGTAAAGATCAGGTATATTATAATTACACGCATTCAGAGTAAATAGAATTGTTTTGACAACTATGATAGGTATATAGATCTATACAATATGGACTTTATAAAATTTTTCGAAATGAGTCATTATGCCACAATGACACTTTATATTTTAATAATATATTTTTTATTAATATAATAACTATTTTACTTTATTATTTTCTTGTAGTCTATCCAACCGTATCTACTTCAAATAATTAATATTATGTTTTTTTAGTTGACAACTTACTTATTTTTCTTATAATAATTTTATAATTTATAGAAAAGTTATTTCTTTTCAATTTTTTAATTGCTGGTACTTTTTTCTTTGAGTATACAGTAACATATATTTATATGATCTTTCGTTTTTCACTTGTATTATACGTGTGCGCGCATCTTTTGTATTTTGCGTATGACGAGTATGCTTGTAATAGGCCTATTCGCTGAATATTTGAGGATTAATTCGCGCAAGATAGATATCGACGAGTACCAAGGCCTATCCGGATATCGATGATCGGCGGATAGTTATCGAGACAATAGGAACACAACGCGGTTGAATAAACTCGTTAAACGACCTGGCTATACGGATTTGCACGCGAGAACTTCACAGAGACGGAAGGCGTACCGTATCCGGAAGATTGCACAGATCGATTTTATCCGCACTCGAGAGCTCGACAAAGTGCATTGTTCTTGGTAGGATTGCAGGACACCGATGAGAATGCGAAGAGAGAGAGAGAGAGAGAGAGAGAGAGAGAGAGAGAGAAGGAATGTCGTAGAGGACAATAAAATTCGCGAGAAAATTATCGTGAAAAAAATGTAAAACGTACTACACATATTACAAATTTATTGAAAAATTCCGCTTCACATATCTATATAAGAAACAATATGTGTCTTTTTGTTCAATACGTAATTCGTATATACATAACAATATGTAATTTGTATACATTTTAAGTCTAGCGATATTTTTAATGGCTTAACTTCCGCGCACAACAGTTATATGGGAGGCCAAACCGGGAATGAAGCAATTACAACCCAAAAACGACGGAAACGGAATACTTTAACGCACGCGATAAATTCTCGACAAATGGCGCCGTTGTAAATGCGGTTAAATTTAAACGTGTATAAATATTCGACGCGCGTGTAATATCATCGTATTTTAGAACGATTGAGCGTTCAAGTATAATGGCCGGGTAATTCGTACGCTTTATCACGCGCACTTTATCGCGGTTCATAAACATAATGTCTCATATATGAGGATAGGGAGGGGGGACTATTTTATCGCGAAGAAATTTCGCGCGTGGTGCACGCAAATGCTATTCTTCATTCATCCTTTTTTTGCATTCGACGCAACGGGATGGTCGCAAGATCTCGCCGGAAACAGCGGTGAAGTACTCCCCGACTTTCTGTTTCCTCATCCGAGAACATACGTACGTGGTACGCCGTATACCTGCCAAGCGGAGACGAGGTCGCTATGTAGCGCACGTACTGAAGAGGATACATTACACGGAATATATAAGAGCTTCGTAATGTTATAAACGAAGCACGAGATTTTGTCTGCTTGCTTTGTCGTTTCTCCAACGTTGAGCCGCAGAAAAGCTCGTAAAGGCAATTCTAATAACGCGATATACGGGTTATTCGAGTAAGTCGAAGCTACAACGAACAGTTGTGTGTTATTAAAATTAATTATACATGCCGCTGTTACAAAGAATTTATATTTACTAAATTATTTAAGTTGTCTACGCAACGAAATAAATAATATAATTTATGTATGTTTTTTTTTTCGTAGAACGCAAGGCACTTGCACATATTATTGCTTCACAGGATAAACAGATTGCAACCGGTTTATAAGAAGTATCAAACGTATATCCTTGTCCTGCGATAAACGACGATAAATAATAAATAGGGATGTTTGCTCTCTCTCTCTCTCTCTCTCTCTCTCTCTCTCTCTCTCTCTCTCTCTTTCTCTTCTTCTCAAAACACTTTCGTGATAAGAACGCGCTGTATTTTTTTGTAGGTGCACTTTATTTTGCGTAAACAAGAGTATCGCTTTATCGCGCGTGCTAGCAAAATGCATGCCACTCCATAAAAGTTGTAGAGCGTCGCGCGATGTAAATGTAAATTGCATTCTGCGTACACGGATAAAAATATTTTTGTTTACCGTGGCGAGGTGACGTTTACGCTACGAGGAGATATTAGTTTTATTTATTAGCGCGCTTGGTGTCAGTGTTTATCGAAATTTTCAATTTTTCCATAAATCTGCATATTCGAACTATAGGCATATTGTTGCCAAAATTCGTGACATTATAACACTCCCAACGTGCCTTTGCGAACTCGTGTTTCGGACCGAGATCATTATCCAGCGCGACCGGAACCAACTCGATCAACGGATACGTGTCAGTCTCAATATATGTACATCCCAGTTATGAAGACGAGGTGGATGTATCCACTGTGTGTCCCTGACCAATGGGATCACAGTTGG